AAAGAATTTTCTTTTGCAAATGAAACTATAAAATCAGAAATAACTGCTTGAAATTATATGATGAAAATAAGTTAACAACACTCGCTTCCTCCGGTGTAAGCAACGGCTTCATTTGTTTCTTCTGTCACAGCTGAGAAACAAGGCCCAGCCCCTCAGCTCCCCTCAGCTCCCCACTGCTCCCTCCCCACGCCCACCCCTCGATGTTTGTCATACCTGAGACTTGTTGCTTTCCTTAGTCCTCAGAGTTGTGGGAAAGCCTGTCTTCCTGAGTAGTGTTGAGTTTCCTGTGTTTTCCTGGGTGAGGATGGCACACGAGGCTGAGAGCCCAGCAGTATATTTATCTTGATTTCCTGTCACCTTGGAGAATTTCCCCAGTCTGTCTTACACAGGAGTCACCCAGTTGTACTTCTATTTAACATATGATGCAAAATGCTTTTCTGAAAAATGAAAGACATAAAAAGGAAAATCTACTTCCCTTTCAAGCCCTGGAACTTCCATGACTGAATATCTTTGATAACTTACATTATCTTGTTCTTTTGGGGCAGTACCCTTGTTTTCTTTTCATGTTTCACTAATGTTACACATCTAGTTCTCTTCCTGTAACCTAACTATCTTTCGTTTTTATGTTTTGAACAGTGTTATTTACTTGTGCACTACACCAGCTGGCGGAATGTCAAATCATTTTTGACTTTTGGCTTAATCTGTCTGTGCAACATGTATCTCTACGAACTGCGCAACCTCTGGCAGCTTTTCTTTCATGTGACTGTGGGAGCATTTGTTACACTGCAGATCTGGCTGAGGCAAGCCCAAGGCAAGGCTCCTGACCATGATGTCTGACATCTCCCTTCAGCTGTATTGCCTTTGCCTTCAGGGGACGAAGGAGAGGACATACAGTAACTGTCACTGTGATGAAGAGACCAGTCACCACACACGAGAAGCTCTGCTTTCTTTCTCTCCCGTCTCCCGTTTTGTTTTTACAAATCAGCCTGGCATGCCTGTGAGCATGCAAGAGCTGCTCGGCAAACTCTGAGAAGAACCCCGCAGTGGAATGTCAGGCCTGTCACACGGTAGAAGTTGTTCAGCATCACCTGAAGACCTGGCAGGTAACCAAAACCCGGGTGTGGAGCGTGCTCTGAGGACCAAGCAGGAACACTACAGCCTGAGTCTGCCTTTGTGAGGAGGCATTAGTATAGACCAGTGAAGAAGATGCTGCAGGGGTCGGAAAGCTATGGTCTCAAACAACGACTGTATTAAATGTCAGATTGTTTGCACAGCTATAGTACCAAGAGTTTATGAAGTCCAGAATGGTATGAAATTGGTTCCTTTACTTTTCTGTTTCTGCCAGCTTCTAACTCTGGAAATAACCTGGTGTGGGAGAAGGCTGTGATGTACATCTCTAGAATATCACAAATCCTGATGACACAGTGACTTGTGGTTTCTTTCTAGACCATGTTTGTCATTTATTTTGAAATCACTAAAAATACATGATTCATTTGACCATTGTGGTTTCCCAAACTCTTTATCATTTGGGTACTGGGTTTACTGTTATTTGCTTAAAAACCTTAAAGTACTTGACAAAGAAAGGAACCCCAACTCCAAGTGGAAAATCAGTATCACTTTGCCAACATAAAAAGAAATGTTAAGTTCGTACAAGATACTGAGACCTGTCAGGGCTCTAAATCTAAGTGGCACATCATTGTGATAGTGAGAGGTGTTACCTGGCACCACAATGCGAGCCGTCTGTGGGACAGTCTGAGGGTAACGGGAGGATGCAAAGGAAGCGGCACTGTCACCGTGCCGCAGCACTGTCTAGTTGTGTTGTGTGTCCAAACCCGCTGTGCCTGTTGCACAGGCATGGTGCTGAGGGACTTCTCCTTACAACTCTGTTACTTCACGGTTTGGGGAGGTAACTAGTATCCAGAAGAAATAACACTCTTAGACCCTTAGAAAGATGACTCAAGCCATTTTGAATTCATAAATGAAGCACAGCTTGATTGTATTTGCAAAAATCTACAAGTCACCTGCTTTGGAAGCCATCATGAGTGATTTGCCTTTGTTTTTAAAGAAAAGATTCCAAACAAGGAATACGTAGGATTCTGGTATTTTATACCATCCCTCAAAACAATGGACTTGATGTGGAATTCCTGTTGGGGCCGTAGGTAGTAGAAGGAGTCCAGGTCAGCTCACTGACCTGCGTTATCAGCCTAACCCACTGTGTGGACACTTGTGGAACTGGAAGATCTTCATACTTGGAACCTTTCGTGCCCCTCCTTCTTAGAAGAATAAGGTAGAAGGAAGGCAGTAAGTGGTTTTATGATGTCCACGGTTTATTTAAAAAGAGAAACTCTAAGTCCATCTAGTCACTGCTGTAACAAACCCGAGAGTTATCCTGTACCTTCTGAGAGATACCCCAAGGCATCACATGAACCTAAGCCATCAGAACCACATGGACTATGTTTGCCATTTTATACTCATTGAGCCTTGTAAGTAAAGTGGTTCGACTTCGGAGCGGTTTCTAAGCTAGTGGGTAGAGCAAAAGAGATTTCTTGTAAATAGTCAATTAACCAGGAAGCTCAGGTTTTCTGGTTAGTTGTGGTTTTACTACATCTTGGTATTTGACAGCTCTCTTACCAGTTTGGTTCAGGAGCTACGCCATCATCACTGAGTTGAGTTACAGCATTTATATTTGGATCCATTCATCAGGCACACTTGAAAATCCCCAGTTACTTCTAAAAGCTTAGCTTGTTTTTTTCTGTCTTTGTTTTCATTAGCTGTTTGGGATAAGAGGATGTTTGCATCTTAATGTACAGAATGAAATTACTATAAATTATCTTTTCTGTATACCACTGCCATCTTTCATTATTTGGGATGTGCATCCCTGAGAGGGTACACAGCTGCCCTGGCTATCACGATGTTATCCAAGGATCTCTGGGTTTGTCATGGTCCTAGAAGGGATCTCCCTAGGGTTCATGCTGTGATACCGAAGCTTATGTTTGAGGCACACCTTTACTCCTAAGTGTCCACTCCATCAGGGTTCTGGGGAGGTGTGTGTGTGTGAGTGTGTGTGTGTGTGTGTGTGTGTGTGTGTGTGTGTGTGTGTGTTCATGTTGTGTGGCAAGAGATGGAGTAATTGGGTCCGCCAATTACATGTCGTATAGCTAAACATATGTACTCTAATTTTGCACCAGGCTCTCTCTACTAGTGTGGGACCAATGAAGGGACTATATCTGTTTGTGACAACAGTCTTCCCTGGTGTGTTTTAATAGATGCATCTTCTCTTAATTTAGCCAGTTCTGAAATACTGCCTGTTGATTATGCCAAGAGCAGACACTCTGTCATACTCTAAAAGTATTTGCCTGCTTTATTGGTCTGGGTTTGAAATGTATTCCTACTGAGTCTTTTCTCTGAAAGAACAGCATGCCAAGAAAAGCCATAAAATATGGTGTTAACAAAATCTGAACAGACCAGATCAGTGAAATGCAAAGAAGGGCTGAGTGCCATTGCTGTGTGGAGGGTGTGACAGCCCCTGGAAGCTAGGGTTAGAAGGGTGCAAGTTAGGCATTGCTCTGTTAAAGATAAAAAGCATGTCTCAGTCCTAATGAATTTGGTAAAAATGTTCTCACTTGGGGTCCTGGGAAGTACTCAAGTGATCAGAATTCTTAGACAATATATTTGCTTATTGTGTAGGTTATCTATGTGTGTATGTGTGTATATGTGGCTGTGTGTGTAAGGATTTTGTTCCTATAAATAAAAACTCTTGCCCTGAGTTAAGAACAAGTATCCATTAAAGCTTGAAAATCTATTTGAGACAAATGGATCGTGGAGAACCTTTACCCGATTTTGTAATTTATAAAGCAAATGTGCTAGTCCTGGTTTAACAATTATTTTGCAATGTAGGTCTTTGTTTTTGTTTTCACTGTGGACTGAAGTCAGGAAGAGTACATTTCAGTTAGACCATGTCAGGAATGTCACTCAGCTGTGGCTTTGCCAAGGCTCCAAGGGAGGCCAGGAGCTTAACCTGAGACTTTACCTCCATGGCACAGACAGACTCTGGGTGAGCCCTCTGTATTCCCCAAGTTAACTGACCTCCAAATGGTCTTTTTTTCCCCCAGAAGGCTTAAGTAACCTAAGGACACACTCTGAGCTGCTGGAATTCCTGTGGGGCATAGTGGAGTGTGTGTGTATCATTCTTGTTAACTATTGAACAATCTAGGGTCACTTTGTTAGAGCTGCCATGGAGTGTGTGGTTAAAGAACAAATAAATGATTTCAAAAGCATTCACCACTTAGACCAAAGTGAACACTTAGCCTTACCACAAATTATAGGTCACTCTTGAGGGCTGCATTCTATGCCTATGGTCAGGGTTTCTTAGTCTTTTTCTGCACTCTAATCCTTCAGGAAGTGGAATCTTTCTACCTAGAAATGCTGTGGTGAATAGGACTTGTTCTTTTGTTTAAGTTGGATTTAATAATATCCTCACTAAAGATCAATAGGAGAGTCCCCTGCAACCCCGAGTGTTCTGAATGGGTTAGTAAGGGCAGACAGGCAGGAAGGCAGCAAGCGTCTGTATCTGCCACTTGGTGGGAGGCATCTGGATGTGCTCACTGGTGCTCTAGGGCTGCTGGCAGATAGCAGCCTCCTGATTAAGCACTGACTATTCCAAAGAAAAGCGGTCCCTGCCACTGACTCTTAGGGCATCTTTCTTGAGTGGCTGAGCTTTCAAATAGATTATCAGGCAGATGAAATTCAGTAAATGTTGAAACCTTGTATGCTTGGAAGCCATATGGTTAGCATCCTGCTCGTTAATAGTGACTGGCATTGATATATGGGTGCCCAAGTGTCCTGTGCCTTGGCAGTGCTAGTGTGTAAACATTTACCTCTGCACACCTGAGAACCATAGGAAACCCAGAGAAAGGAATTCCTGAAACCAGTCCCTGAGCATCACAAATCCTCCCCAGCGTTTCCTTGGCAACGAACAGTATTTTCAGCCCAGCCTCACCCCTGGTTCACATTTGCCCTTTTCTATTGCATCCCACAGCACAGCAATGCAGATATCATCCAAATTCATGGAACTCAGTCAGGCTCCATCTGAGATGAAGAGGCAGGACTTGAGCCTTCCACTCCCTTGAGGGCTCAGGCCCAGCTCTGTCTCGGCCACTTGACTATGTTGTGCTAGGGTTTTACGTCAAGGCTGAGATACAAACAACCTTGCCTAAGAGTGAACAAACAATATGTTGCCTTTGTACTTTGTGCTCCAATAATGCGCATTGGTGCCTTTTATACTTATCTATGATGTAACTTAAGGCAGCCTGGGAACAGGAGACACTACCTCATTTTCATTTGAGAAAGGTAAAACTTGGGTCTAGAACGTCTTTGGATGGTATTATTCCCATCAATGGTGGTATGAAGTTGCTGCTGGGATTCGGGTTTTTATTTAGAAGTTGGGGCATATCTGTTTATGCTATAATGTGTCTCAGGAAGGCAATTCTTGGCATGTTTAACAGCGTTATGGCAGTAGTGAGAACAGAGGAAGCAGCTATAGAGGGAAAACAGAATTGTGTGCTCTGCAGCATGGCTGCTTGTGGATGTGGCCATGTTGCCTTCTCAGCAATCCTGAAGGTGTCCTTTCCTACAGGTGAGCTGCCCAAGCCCTAAAGAGGTCACAAATCCTTGTGCAAAGCTCTTTAGAAGCCATCCCTTGGGGGAAGATCCTGTTGAAATATCTAGCATGCAGTGGTGCCCTGCCCCAGAAGACACGTGTGTGGATCTCTGGGCAGAGCACACATCCAAAGAGGGAAGGGAATTGAGAGGTGTATATTTGCCCAATACGCTGTGTGCCAGGTGCTCTGTGCAGGAAGTGTTCATTGCACACCCGAAGAAGTGATGCAATGTCACCCTGAAAGAGGTAAGCTATGCCTACCATTTTCCCCCCTCCTAGTCCCAAGGCACAAGGGTGCTGGGGGGACCTTGCCCTGTCCAGTGTGGCTCTAGAACCTGGGCCTCGACAGGCTTTGCTTTGATCGTACCTGCTGTCTACCTGCCAGTCTTGGATGACACCATCCCTAGTACCACCGTTCCTCGTGCCCTGAGTCTGCATCGCTAGGAAGAAGAGGGGGAGGGCTGAGCAGTCAGCAGCCTGCAGCCCACAGTTCTGTCAGCTGAAAGGCATTCTTGAAAAGCACAAATATAGCACGGCTATAAAAAGATGAAGAAGCACTGCTCTGAAAACTGTGAGAGCCGGTCGGGAGTGCCACTGTGGCTAGGTGATAAAACGGGGAAGCGAGTTCTGCCTAACTGGAAAACTAGGGAAAGTCAAGCTCCGCAGAGATGCTGACAGGCCCGAATTAGAAGTTGGCCAGCAGTGAGAACAGCAAGTGATGAAGGTCCCTGATGGATTCCAGTGAGCTCTTCTAGGAAGTGTGAAAGGGATCCTGGGGACCAGTGTGCTGTCACCGTGAGCTGGGGTGGCTCCCTGCTCTGCTCACTGGCACTGCAGAGCTGAGGTGGAGGGCTGGGAGGCTGCCTCGTTGACCTAGGGGCTTCCTTTCTAACCTCCACTGTCCTTTCTCCTTTCCTCCAGATGCGTTTCCTGCTCTGTGACCTCCCCGCCTAGCCTGTGGTTCAGAGCTTCCAGGTAGAGTTCCCAGCTGAGGACAGAGCAAGGGCCTTTTCTGACTGTGGTTTGGAGGTAATCAAACTGTAGCCCCTGTCGCATGGGGCTTCTGCCTCACTGGTCTCTACCTGTAGTTCTAAAGCCATGATCGTAATTCAGTTGTTGGTGCAATACATGTGGTCTGGGATTTCCCAGAAATCGGGGAAAGAGTTGCACAGATACTTAGAAAATGCCAGAGGGGGAACCCTTAGGGACCAGCCAGACTGCTGTCCTCACTAGGCAATGCTCTTGTGTGGTATAGAGACCTTGTAGATGAGAAGGAAGGAGAGGCAATATAGCAAAGGGATATGTATATATCCCCCCCCCCAAAAAAAAAAAAAAAAAAACAGAAGCAGAACCCTGGAGGCTTTTAGAACATCTAGAAGGATCTCACATCACCAACTTAAAAAAAAAAAAAGTGTGTGTGTGTGTGTGTGTGTGTGTGTGTGTGTGTGTGCATGTTCATGCTATAGTGGTCAGAGAACAACTTGTGTGACTGGGTCTAGATTGTACCACATGGGTCCCAGTGATTAAACTCAGGTTATTAAACTTGGTGGACAGTGCTGAGTCCTCTCAGCACCCCACTCACTGATTTTTGACATTGAGAAGTGACGAGCCCCTCCTACGGACCTTCGCTAAGGACAGAGCATCCTGGGCCAGTGGCAAGCTGCTCCTGAGCCACAGCAGAGAGAAACGTGCTCCGAGGTGTACATTCATTCTTTTTAGTATTCCATTGTACCTTAGGTGGTAACGCAACTAAAGCTATGGTTTCCCGGAGCTGTTGCTGCTGTTACCATTCTCCTGCTCTGGAGCAGTTAGCTTCCTGGCCCTGCTTCCCAGGATCCCACCTCCCGGTGTCTAAGTGCTTCCTGCCCAGGTGAGTGGGTTCAGTATTGCTGCCCGGTGCCCAGAGGTTCAGGGTCTGTTGTTACTATGGTATGGCTGTTGAAGCATTGTGCCCGATACCCGTAATTAACCCGGTGAAAAACCTCAGCTCAGCCTCAGAACTTTATGCCTCTCGGGTGGCATTTACTTTTGGAAATTCATAAAGTAGCATGGCTCCGTGACAGACTTCGCTTCATCTTCTCTAATACAGGAAGTCCTTGTGGCTTTCCACCAGTTCCTTGCTAATTACATGCTACACTCTTACCATGTTAGCTACAAACAGGAATGGGCTGTTTGAACCTGACTCGAATACCAGTGGAATGTTTTCTAATAAATTCTATGATTTAGCTCTCTAATGTGGATATGCTTTGGAAGAAATGTAGAGCTGAATCTATTTTCTGGGATTTGCTCATTGGGCGTGATGGATATGGGAAGGACTTTTGAGTCGCCCCTTCTGGGTGATCACGTGGCTCTGTGTTTACATGTGGTTTCAGGGGCTGCCTGAAGGCCTAGCCACAGCAGGTGGAATTTCTTTAGGAGCTGGGTTTCCACTTTGACCAATAATAGCTGTGAAGTTTAATTTATTTCTTTTTTTTTTTTTCTTTTTTTTTTGAGATAGGGGGTCTCTACGTAGTTTTGGCTTGTCCCAAATTCAGAGATTTGCCTGTTCTGGGATTAAAGCCATGTTGACAATACCCTGCCAACTTTGAATTTCTTCATCATTGAGTTTTCTAATTGGTGTGCCCCAGCTTAATTTCTGAGTTAAGCACCTGCCTCTGTAGTATACATTTTTCGCATTGTGTATCTGAAACCCTAATGATGTCAAGGCTTGCCCTGCCCAAAACTGTGTGGCTGCTGCTCCAGTGAGGCTAGTAAAGTCTCCCTCACAGGTTCCTTCCTGTTACCTGGTTCCCGTGCAATGCCCATGCCTCTCGAGAGTTCTTTCCTGCCCCCAGTTAATCCTGAATGCGATGGATGTAGCGAATGGGATCTGCTGACAAGGGTCCCGCTGTGACACTGGCAGCACTACACTAACTCTGAAGCTCCTGTTACTCAGCAGCCGTGGCCTTAGGCCAGCAGTACAAGCTTCCTGTGCTTCACTCTCTTCCGTGTGAAATGTGGCGGCCGGGGGATTTAGCGAGATGGTATTTGTATGGTGACCGTCCCGGTGTGGTAACAGCTGGCTCCAGCTGTACAGGTCAGATGAGTTGGCCATCCCTGCCCATCTCCTCAGGTCCTCCCGATGGTCTGGATAATCTTTGTTTTCCTTTTGGCATATCTTCCTGCGCCCTGACCCAGGATGAAAATCAGACCCAGGACACATTACCAGTGAAAGTGTTTTTTAATAGTTAAATTATTTAAATAGACTTTTCAATTTCCATGGGAAATCATAATTGTATCATTTTTGCAAGAGCAGGAATAAAAAGAGTGCACACACCCCTTAGAGGGAACGAAGAGCTAGCACTGCACGCTGTCACCAGTCACTGCTGGAACGGGGAGGAGCCTCCACAAGGCCTTGACCCCCAAGGAGAACACGGGATAAACACGGCACGCACACTGTACTCGGGTTGGAAGCTAAACAAAAACCCACCGGTGTTGGCAGGACATGTGGAGGGCTGGGAACTTGGGCAGAGTTTGAGAGAAGCGGCCCCCTGTGCCAGAGGCGAGGGCAGTGCAGAACTCGAGGGTGGAGGGCAGGGCACAGAACAGAGGCAGATGTGGCAGTTCTGGGTCCATACTTTGTTTGGGGGGCTGTGTTCAAACGAGGGAGGGGAGGGTGGTGAGGGTAGGTATCAAAGTGACATTGAGCCAGCACACAGCTGCCACCTCCCCTTTTAGACGCTACTGTCCTGTCAGAGGGGAGAGTAATAATGCGCCCTGAGAAGCAGTGAAAAGATCTGGGCACAGACAGGAAGGGTGCTATTCAAGTTTTTCATTTTCCAAATGTGTTCTTAGAAATTATAAAAATAGTATTTCCCCCTCCCACCAAAACTAGACCACATTTCTGCTCATTTCCCCGCAACTTCCTGTCTTTGCAGGGAGAAGGCAAGGCCATACCTTTCCCCAAACCTGGGGCCTCCATGTTACATGCCCAGGTCCCAGGGGCCCTTTCTGAGACAGCGCCTGGGCCAGCTGAACAGGCCATATCGCCTGGACGCCCTCTAGCCCCAGCCCTCCTGAACTCCCAGGAACCTGTAGGGGCTGCCCCTGAAGGGAGGGGGGCCTCCTGCGGCATCTCTGGGAGAGGAAGAGCCAGCACTAGTGAGTGCAGCGTGCTTTGGAAACAGTCTGGGGTGGAGCAGTGCCTTCTGACCGCTCGTTCTGTTTGCATGTTTCCTTGAGAAGTGGGGTGTGTGTTGATGGGGGGTTAGAAAGAGGGGCTAGCATGGTCCCCGTATCTTCTCCTTAACCGAAATGTGTAGTACCCCAAAAGAACATACACCCCTGCTCTGGCTGTGCCTAGGAAAACCAAAAACTGCCAAGTCTGAAATGATGGGAACACACCCTGCAGGGAACGGCTCCACAGCGGGAATGCACACGTCCACCAGCGCGCACACACATACACACACACACACTGACATACGAACAGTACAGAGGAGCAGAAATGCCCTGCTGTGTACAGCTGTTTCCTAATAGAGAGAATTTACAAAATATAGAATTTGGTATATCTGTTATATCTCCAAGGTTTCAATAATACAAAATAAAATACAAAAAGACAAGTTGGGGTTCCCGCCTCCCTACCCCAGGGGCACCCTCGTTCGCTGTGTGTCTCTTACACGCATACAACTAGCGCAGTCTAAAGAAGGGCACAGAACACTTGTTTTGTTTTATTTAATAAATATTTTCTTTTGCTCAGAGCCACCACTCCTTGCTTGGTGTCCTCTTGCCTCCCCCTTGTCAACAGTCCTGTTTCCCTTACAGGGCACTGTCTGTGCGCGTGCGCGGAGGTGTGGGCCGAGGGTGGCACAGGCCACGCCTCTCCAATTCCTGCATTCCTGCCCCCCAAACACCGCCGGGGGCATGGCCTCTCCGCAGTGGAAAAGCAGACCCTAGAGACCCCTGGACACCCCCAGGTCAGCTTCGAGCCGGCCTACCTACCCAGCATGGCCAAGGCCTCTCCTCAGGCCAGCCAGCCAGCCAGCCACCGTGTGCCATGCCGCGCCACCAATGAAGGCTCCGCTGGCGCCTCCATCATGCAGCAGCAGCAGCAGCACCTGTCAGACTCAAGGCTCAACTCAAGTCTATCGGGATCTTCTGCCAAGGGAAACATCTTTGGTCAGCTTGGTGCTCGCAGGACGCTGGCACCCTGGGCCCAGGCCAGAGGCCGTGCCCACCAGCAAAGGCAGAAGTTGCTTCTGAGTCAAAGTGGAAATTTTACCATCACGGCGGTGAGACCGGAGCACAGGCCCCATCTGCCCACGGTGCACAAAGAAGCGGTTCCGTTACTCGGAGGCCAGCATGCTGGCACCTCTAGCCGGCACCTGCTAACTGAGGGGAGGCCCTCCATTGAGGAAGTAGGTCATCATCTCACCCTTGCCCTTGACCTTGACCACACCCCGGCACTCCAGCTGGTATGTGTTGGCGGCCAGCACCTGGTACATGTCTGTAGTGACCTAAGGAGGCACAGGAAGGGAGAAGACAGGCTGTCAGTGACCTTACCCATGAGCTGCTGTGGGCACACCCACCTCTGTGTGCCCACGCCCTGCTGCTGGCTTGACACGAGAGTGGGGGAGGCCCTCCACCCCGGGCTCCGGGGACACTTAGACAAAGACTGGTGGTAGCTGTGCTCAGCACTTCCCTGTGCTGGGCACTGTGACAAGCACCTTGTGTGGTCCACCTAAGGTGCTACTTGAAGTATGGGCTGGGGTCCGTACACTGCCTTCCGGAGCAGCATCGGCCCCAGCAACTTGACAAACAGACAATAGCTGAGGGCAGGACTTGGGTCTTGTCTAGAGTACAGCTCCACGACAGAACAGAGAGCCCCCTCTTGTCTCATTTCATCTCTCTAGAGGAAACTGTCATGCCTGTGCCCGAGGATGCGCATGCCTGCCTGTTGGTAGAGTTAGCCAACGGTAGAGCCTGGGTGCCATTCAGAGCCCAGGTCTGCCTCTGTCTTGGCTCTGCAGACAAAACTCACTGGGGCTTCATCAGTTACACTGTCCTATGGGTGAGAGGGGTAAAGGAGGGCACGGGTGCCACGCTGAGGGTTGTCAGAGCTCCCATTGGCTGGGCTGCCATGAAGCTGCTGAGTGAACCCACATGGCGAGACTCAGGTGTGTTACCGACTGTCACACTGGGCCCCAGTGGGGAGCCAGACACTCCACCCACACAGCCTTTGTCCCTCCTCTCCTTGGCACAACATGGAGGTCAGGAAAGGCCTGGTACCCTGGACAGCACCCAACCATTCAGTTGGGCAGGGCAGACAAATGAGGGGACCTTGAAGCATTGTGACACAGCAAAAATGCCTTTGAAATGGCACATTTAGCACTTGTCAGGACAGGCCAGGGGAGCTGACTTCCCACCGCACACCAGGACCTTCAGGTATGTGGCGGGACATGACACCTTGTATCAGAAGGGAAAAAGAAGAACCAGAAGTCTGAGGAAAGGGGAGGGAGGGATAAAGACTGCAGGCCCAGGGATCACAGACACCAGCTAGCAAAGGATGGAGAAAGAGAAAGTAATTCCCCTTGGATGCTGGAACTGTAGAGACACCAGCATCCTCAGCAGGCCTGGGACTGCAAACCCTGCCCAGCAGTCTCCTCCTCCTGTGTACCTGGGGGCTGGGTGACTGTCCTGCAGCTGTCTGCTCCTCCTGTATACCTGGGGGCCGGGTGACTGCCCCTACAGCTGTCTCCTCCTGTATACCTGGGGGCCGGGTGACTGTCCTACAGCTGTATGCTCCTGTGTACCTGGGGGCTGGGTGACTGTCCTGCAGCTGTCTGCTCCTCCTCTATACCTGGGGGCCGGGTGACTGTCCTGCAGCTGTATGCTCCTCCTGTATACCTGGGGGCCGGGTGACTGCCCCTACAGCTGTCTCCTCCTGTATACCTGGGGGCCGGGTGACTGTCCTGCAGCTGTCTGCTCCTCCTGTATACCTGGGGGCCGGGTGACTGCCCCTACAGCTGTCTCCTCCTGTATACCTGGG